AAGCTAAATGTTGCACAGCCTTAGATAAAAGCTAAATGTTGCACAGCCTTAGATAAAAGCTAAATGTTGCACAGCCTTAGATACAAGCTAAATGTTGCACAGCCTTAGATAAAAGCTAAATATTGCACAGCCTTAGCTACAAGCTAAATGTTGCACAGCATTAGCTACAAGCTAAATGTTGCACAGCATTAGCTACAAGCTAAATGTTGCACAGCATTAGCNTTAGCTACAAGCTAAATGTTGCACAGCATTAGCTACAAGCTAAATGTTGCACAGCATTAGCTACAAGCTAAATGTTGCACAGCATTAGCAAAATACAATTATTAAAACTGAAGCTAAAAGCTAAAAATAGTGAAACAGTTGCTGAATGCACAACGTGTCATAATAAAAGTATAAATGAGTGAATCTGCTGAAGTAAATATTTGAGAATAAAGTTTTTAAAGTAGAGATCTCAGCATTTTTATCATATTTTAGTGACTTAATTCAAAAATATAAAAGCTATAAATACTAAAARTCAGATCATTTCCAATGGTTGGTTGTGGCTAAAAGCTGCTTTTTACAGCAGCAGCTGATAAAAACAGGAAGAAGAGGCTGTTTCAGATCAAAATGACAAAAACTAAATTTATTTTCAGTTGTGTTGATGTGAGAATCATCTGGACAGAATGTGTGTGTTTGTTTTGGTGGGGAGCTCTGGACCCCACCTGCTGAACTGCTGATGGGTCAGAACCAGACCTTCCAGTCTGATGGGGAAGCAGACGTCGCAGCTCGCCACCATGTTCTGGATCTTGAACTCCAGGAAGCGGGCCGGGAAGCCCAGCTTCTGGACCACCCGAGCGTATTTCCGAGCCGCCAGCCTGGACTGCTCCTCGCTGTAAGTTAAACACGTAGAAAAACTGTTTTTAGACTTAAAACATTTGATTTTAAATTCAGTTTGTTCTGAAGCTGCTGATGGTCCAAAGTGCTGCAGTATCATCTGAACAAAAAGTTCTASGTTCTGACTGATGGTGAAACGTGAAGCTTCTGAAGCTGGTCTTTCAGCTTCAGTAATCTGGATTATTATGTGCTTCCTGTCAAACTGAAGCTCTGACCTCTTGGCGCCGGTGCAGACCATCTTCCCTGAGCTGAAGATCAGAGCGGTTGTTCTGGGCTCGCGGATCCTCATGATGACCGCCGCGAAGCGCTGAAACAAGACAGGAAGTGCTGCAGAGCTTCAGAGTAATAAAAGCACCACGCAGGGTTAACGTCAGAACCACGAACCTTCGGGTTGTATTCTGCGTTCCTGGCCTGCAGCGCGATGAACTTCAGATCCAGAAAACACCCCAGGGTCACCGTGGAGACGATGTTCCTGCTCACAACACAAACGTCTGATTAAACGTCGGATTTTCAGCCTCAGGGTTGATGCTGAGAACTCACTGCAGCTGAGGGATGATTCCTGATCTCTCCGTCACCGGCGTCATGGGAGTCATGGGGGTCATGGGGGTCATAGGGCAGAAGGGGGAAGCCCCCGTCCCTGGTCCTGCCGAGGACACGCCCTGCTGGGGCGGAGCTGCAGACGAGTCCTGCAGGTGGAACTCCTCAGGGACTCCACTGTCCTGAGAAACATCCAGAGCTGCAGCTGGAGGCTCTGCAGCAGCAGCTGGGAGTAAAAGCAGCAGATTTATTTATCTTCCCTCCGCTTCGTCCTGCTCCACTTTCAGTACATCTGTGCTCAGAACACATTCATGTTTTATCACTTCTCTAACTTTAGAAGATCCAAAAGAAAAAGACCCCTCCTTCTCCTTAGGGGGGGCTGCAGCAGCATCAGAACATTTGGGAGTTTTAAACATGAAAACAGAACATCTAGAGTTCTTCTGCTCGCTCAGCTAAAGATTCTTTTATTCATCATAAGAGCCATGAAAGTCTGCAGATAAACCAGAGCTGGAGCTTCTTCTGAYGCAGAAAAATAAACTCTGTTCAGTTTGTCAGGCAAACGTTTAAATTTAACTTTATTAATCCTAACCTAAAGCTGATTTGTTGTGGCGGCCATCTTTAATTCACCACTTGTAKATGTACAGCCAGTAAGAGTTTTCTTGAAATATTTTAGCTTTTAGTCAGCTTTCTGCTACCTTTACATTTTAACTGGTTGATACTTTTAAGCTTTTTGCTAGCGATATTCTACTTAGTTTTTAGCTAGCCTAATGCTAATTTTAGCTAGCAGTTTGCTACTTTAGTAGCATTTTGCTTTCTTTTAGCTATTAGCCTGTAGTTTGCTTTTTCAGCTTTTAAACAGTATTTTCTTCATGTCTGCCTGAAATTAACTTGTTTTAGCTTTTAGCCAGTATTTTGCTTATTTAGCTTTTAGCCAACATTTTGTTTAGTTAGCTTTTAGCCAGCATTATGCTTAGTTTGCATTTAACCAGCATTTTGCTTAGTTAGCTTTTAGCCAGCATTTAGCTTAGTTAGCTTTTAGCCAATATTTTGCTTAGTTAGCTTTTAGCCAGCATTATGCTTAGTTAGCTTTTAGCTAGTATTTTGCTTAATTAGCTTTTAGCCAGTATTTTCTTTAGTTTTGCCAGTAATTAGCATTTTTCTCCTTTTATTTAGTAGCTAGTGTTTGGTTCTTTATGATCTAGTGCTTGCTTTTAGTTAGTGTTGTTTTTTTTAGCTTTCAGCTGGTGTTCTGCTTTTAGCTGTATACCCAGTTTTTGTTTCTTCAGCGGATATCAGTAAAGTCACTCATAATAAATAGAAATCTTCGGCACCTGTTCGGCCACTTTGCTCGTCCTGATTGCTGAGCTCGTCAGGCAGGAAGCTGAGGTCGAGGTCGTCGCCAGCTTCGACCCTCGCTGCAGATTTCTTCGGCAGAAACGAGGAGGTGGAGGCTTCATGGTCTGAGGAGTTCTGGAGCTCCTCGTCCAACGTGAAGCCAGAGTCCTGCAGAAAACCCCAAACAGAACAGATGCTCCGAATAACTTCAGGTTTTAAATCTAAAACTAAACAAACCGAACAAATATGAAAACTGGTCAAAAAACAAATCAACATTATGACTTTAAGCTATCCAAACTTCTGATTAAAGCTGCTGCCTGAAAATCCAACAACTTTCTTCTTTAAACAGAAACGTGAGATTTATTTTTGTAATAATATAAACTGCATCAAAGTATAAAGTTTTTAAATTCGGATCATTGAAACCCATGGATGTTGACCTGTCGTCAGCAGCTGCTGCTGTGACCAGATTGTACCAGGCTGCTCTGTGTTTGCTTATTTCCTCCTGCTTCATTATTTTTATGAATTTCAACAAAGCGTGCTGACGTCAGGTAGTTAGCTACAGCCTCGTCTTCCAGTTTGTAGTTTTTGTTGATGAGTTTTGAAGAGACACTGTTTTAAAAATAGGATCCAAGTAAATCATGAGTTTTTCTAGTGACCCTTAAATAGATAAACTACCATGAAGAACATTATTTTAGCTGCACTTGTTCCATATTTGATAATGATTTGAAACATCGAAGAGTTTATTTTTTAAATCTGGAATAGCGCTCGTTAGCAAAGTGTGTTGACGCTCGTCTTCATCACCTGACACATTTAACCCGCTGTCATTGGTTGAGCAGCTGTGTTTACTAAACACATGTCCACACGGTTTTTAAATTGTTTTAATTTCCTTACTTTCTAAGACACATTAAGTTGATTTGATGCTGCAGTTTGTCTTGTAATATTATTTTATACATTTTATGCTATATTTGCTTTGGATTTTATTAAGTTTTATTAGTTTTTAGGATACAAGATGCTTCCTACAAAAACCAGAATGTGGATCTTTTCCTAAAATTCATGGTGATATCTTAAACACTGAGAAAGTTATGATCAAAAATAGATAATTAGGTGAAATGATCCCAATGGTTCTGTGTGAACTGTGAGCTGATTTCACCTGAACAATTAATAACTTCCCTCATAATTCAGATAATCACAGGATTTTGCTGTTATTTTTTTAGGTTTGTAATGTTCTTTAGGAATCTTCTGTCAGATTTAATATTGGTGTAGGTCAGACATGTTCCAGTGTTGTGACATTTCATGACCCTAATTATCTAAAAAAAAAACTTTTTCTGTGGAAGCAACCAGAGCTTCAAACTTTGACCCRGTCCAGTCAGGTCCAGTTTAAAGTCCGTACTCACGTTTGCAATGGAGTCATCGAAATACCGCTCCAACGCCGACTCGTCCATGAGCTCCAACCATTTGAGGTGATCTGAGCCTCCTGCTTCTGCAGGTAGAGCTGCAGCTGCTGCCAATCAGCCAATCAGAGCTGCCCGTCAGCTGCAGAAATCTAACAAACAGCTGAAGTTTTCTCTGCATCCTGCTCACTTTAACTCCAGTTTGAAGCAGAAAGGTTCAAACATTAATGTTTATTTTATTTATTTACAAAGAAGATCAGATGAGAAATGATATAATTAATATTAAACATGCTGTCCTGATTTTCTTGACCTGAAGATATTTCCTGTGCAGGTCCTCCTCATCTCCTCCTCCCGTCCAACATGTCCACTGTCCCTCAGCTGGACATGTCCAAACCACCACACTAATAAATAAACAGGTCCAGGACACGAGGACTTTTTCATCTGTCCACATGAAGACAAAATCTGTCCTCAGGACCATCCTAAACCAAGAACAGAAGATTTTCAATAAATAAAATAAATAAATGAGTGTAACTAATAAACATACTTGAATAGTAGTGAAAATAATTGACATACTTTAAGTTAGACACAAGAAGAAGTCATAAAAAAGAAATAATAAGTTTTATTATTTTTTAATGATCAGCTGAACATTATGATAAACGATGGCATTTTACCAAACTCTATGCTGTCTGTGATTTTAGTACCTATTGTAAAAGATAAGGCTGGTAAAATAAATAGCAAAGATAACTATCGGCCCATCGCTCTGGCCAGTACCTTATCGAAAGTTTTGGAGAAGGCTCTGTTAAGCAGAATTGAGA